CTCCTCTCTCCTCTGGTATTGTTGCACTGCAGGTTTTTTTTCCCTCCTCTTAAATATATTATCTCAGAGGCACTGCCACTGTCACTGATGGGCTTGGCCATGGCCCCCAGTGGGTCCATCTTGGAACCAGCTGACATTGGCTCTATCAGACATGGGGAAAGCTTCAAGCAGCTTCTCACAAAAGCCACCCCTGTAGCTCCCCCGCTACCAAAACCTTGCCATGCAAACCCATTATGCTTTAGTAACAAAACCCCCATTTTTTTTAAGTGAAAAAATACAAGAGAGCTCATCATCTACCCGGCTTTCAGTGAAGCTTGAATGTATGGTATGTGGGCAACTATGTGAAATTGCATGAACACTGAATTGAAAGCACGCTGAGCTGAGAAGAGCACTGAGTACCAGTGAAATGTATGATGGTAGTGTGTTATTTCTGGCATTGTGCAGAGAAATACTGGGATTTATGGAAAGCACTTGTGTGTCTATGGAAAATGAAGTGGATGTTTTTAGTGGCTGTTGTTATCTTAACTCTGATATTCTTTTTTTGTTCTCTCTTTTCCCAAGTATTCGTTCAAAGCTAGCTCATGCTCCATATGTTATAATCAGAAATCTTAAAGTTTCTAGACTGAGAAGTTGTCTGGTTTCTAGATCTTGCATTATTGCAGTGTTGACTTCTAGAGCAGAATTATTTTTTAGTCAGCTCATTCAGGCTGTAAAAACATACATGAAGATATAATTTTTAAAAAGTGGCAATGTAATATTACATTAACAGTATGTGTAGTAGAACTGATCTAGATCAATTAGCATATGTGAAATCATGCCTGTAATTTAATGAATGATCCTGACTTATCCTTTCTTCAGTATGTTTCACGTAAATTAAATTAATAAGATAAAAATTATGGTTTAAAGTCTTAATGAAAGTGTTTAAATGGTCAGTTGCTTTGAGAGAATGTTATTAAAATAACGCTAAGGATCAGTTATTCCTACTGTAAGAATTAGCAATAGGCTTTTATGTGCACTTTTGTGTTTAGTTTTCTGTAGAGCTTCCCCCTCTACTTGTATTTTTAGCAAAATCATCCGTTAAGGTTGTGAACTACTGTGATGATGTATTTTAATAAAATCTGTTTTGGGGACTCCTTATTAACATAAAAGGTGAAGAAAAGTTCATCTTTAATGAAAGTGTTTGACCCATGGTATTATTTCAGATTACTTTCAGTTATACTAGATGTTTCAAAAAAATCTTGCTTATGCAGTCACTGAATGAAAACATTTTACTGCTGTATACTAATATGTGTGTGTGAGATAGAATATTAAAAATGAAACTGGAAGTGTAACCTTTTCCTGCTCCTCCTTTCTTAATTCATTTTTATCTAATTTGATTTCTAGAACTTTATTAATGGAGTTTTCATTATGTGAGGGCCTCTTTGATCTTACTAAGAGGCCTAACATCGTGTGTTATGAGCTCGATATATTAATGCAGAGTTTATCGCCCATGCAGACATTAATGTCTTACTGGGTGTTAAGCGGAAGATCTGCATGCTGTTCCTCCGTGTTCTGAGAACTTGCGTGGTATAAAAACGTTATATTTTTAAAGCAGCAGCCTGAAGTTAGCCACCCACTAACTAGCTAAAAAGAGCACTGAAATCAGTCCATGATATTGAATTATACAATTAAGGTAATTGTTTAATTCTTGGTAAAATCTTTTTTGAAACACAGTATTAATTATAAGCTTCTCAGGATACGGTTGACACAGCCTGGTGATTTGCAGGCTATGCTTTCACTTGCACAGAAAATATTTATGTAAATTAGTTGCCTATGACACTTCTGTCAGTCTGTGTGATGTATCCTATCCACCCTAACACAAAATGCAGCGTGAAATATTTGTTATTTACAACATTCTGAGTGAAAGTTAACGTCTGTTTTAGCAGTCTTTCTGAGAATGTTGCCATGTCAAATGAAAAATATTTCATAAAGGCATATGGCTAGTCAGATAAATTTAAAAACATTGAGTCTGAAAACCTGAAACAAAAAAGTTTTTATTCAGGTAAGTCTTCCTCTTCTTCCTCCCTTCCCGGCCTGACTTGTTAGTGGTTGACGCTGGATATATTGCAGTGTTCTTTTAACTTTCTGTTTATAGGTATAACCGAGGATCTGCATGCAAGTAACTTTGGGCTGGTTTTCAGATTGTGTTTGCATTCTTTCACTCCCTAGCCCTCTTTCTGCATCTACTTTGTTAACCAGCAGTACAGCAGTAGGGTTCATTTGTAGAGTCTCTAACACCAGTTCTTCTTTTAACAGTGCGTTTATGTTCGGATCGACTTAGTCTCATCAAGCACTGTCTTGCTCAGTTGTCAACAAACTATAAGCAGTCTGCTAAGCTTCTGGGACTTGCAAATTTGCTAAGGGTTGCAGGTAAGCTGTGCTAATAAGACACTGAATTGCAATGCAACATGCATTTGTGTTACGCTTTAGGACGTTTGAGTTGATCATTAGAATGCATGTTCAAGGATGTCACTAAAAAGTCATCTTGGAAGAGCAGTCACTGGAGAGGAATGAAATATTTTACATGAATGAAATACTTTATCTGTAAAACAGCCGATATTGCCAGCTGATCTGACATTCCACTGTTTAAATTTAATACTGTTTTCCGTACAAGGATATTAATTTATAAACAATGTATGGATCCACTATAAGAGTGGCATAGTTGTTAATTTTATAGAATTTTTTTTAGTTTGGAAAATACCCATAAGGTTCTGGAGTCTGACCATTAATAGACTTATTTGTTGTAGGAAATGAGCTATGGAAAACAAGTTTCTTTTATTTTGAGACATTCAGTATTTAATCTTTTTTTAGTTTTTCTGAACTTTAAAGCTATAAACAGCATGCTACTATTACTGCAGTGCCTGACATTCCATCCCATTGATGAGTATCCAGAAGAGTACCCAAAAGCATACAAAAGAAACATAGTTGTTATTGCTGTTTTAAGTCATGCATGCAAATGAAATATTTTTCTAACAGGTTAGAGGAAGTCTGTAGAGCTTCTACTCTTTAGTCCTCCATTACTGCTGTATGTACTTTCAGGGAGTGCTGGAATAGGTAACCTTTTACTGACTTTAAAGTTGAATATGATTTTAATAGCTAGATTAGTAATACCTTTAGAAACAGATAGGAAGTGGAATACTGGCATTAGTGTTATTTATAGACTATGATTAAGACGATGCTTAATCATAGTCTATAAATGAAGTGTCTCATAAAATGGAATAGTTGGTATAAAAAAAAAAAGCGAGACATTTAGAAATGGTATTTATCTATCAGTTGACTCATAATTTAGGTTTGGGTTGCAGTTAATTATTAACATGATGAAGAATTATTTTAGGACTTTGTTATAATTCTTATGACTACCAACATTAGTATTATTCCATACATTAAGTTTTTAGCCAAAAAGGTGACTCACACATACAGATTTTAAGATTTGTGAATTAGTATGTTTTATTTTAAACAGAGTATTAGAAAAGGAAAAGCTTCCTTGCAGTTTGAGCACAGATAGTCTTTGTTGGCAGGTTTAAAACTACTGGGAAAGCATAACTTGATTTCTAACAGCTTATGATGAAAGGGAATTGTTTTATGGAGATATATTGGGATGAGTCTCGATATTGAATAAGAATCTAGGGATTGAACTTTATGGACTTGCTTAGTGAAGAATTAGATAAAGTGCTGCTGGAAGAAAGAATTGTTTTTCGTCCCTAATTGGTGTTTGTTACTTGTACAATTATCCTGATTTATGAGCCACCTTTGCTGTCAAAGAAGTTCTAATTTTGTCCTGTGGAACGTACTTACTGGTATTGGTTATGCATGCTGAAATTTGCCGTCCCTTCCGTTCCTGATCCACTGTGTGTATCTACTGGTAGAGTGCTTTCTTGTGCTTTATCTTATCTGTTAACTGAGGAATTTGTTTCAGCATTCCCTCTTTTTTGCCACCCCATCTGATTACTGATTTTGAAGACCTGCTTGCTACACCTATCCTTGCCTATATAAATTTTATACATATGTGTATAAAGAGAGTGTATAGTATATGCTATATTATACTATTCATAACATATAGCCTATAAAATACTATAAGTATATGTATTTTAATTTAATTTCTAAAATAATTACCTGCTCTGCATACAAGGGTAGAATGCACATGGTCACCCTCAAGGAGCATTGGGAGCTGTGTTCTCTGAATACAGTTTGTTTGTAGGGCAGCACTCCAAGTGAGTAATAGCATTTATATTCATTGTTATCAAAGCTAAAATATTGCTCAGGTAACGATATATCAGCTACTTCTTAATTGCTTTAAAGTATTTGATTAATGGCATTAAACTCTACCTAAGCCTCAAATCACTGCCTCTGTAAAGTGGACACACAAGTGTTATCTTAATTTCACAGATGGGCAGAGTGAGAGGGAATGTTCTCAGCCTGACAGCCAGAAAATCTGAACCTGCTTAGGGAGCTGGACCTGTTCTGTGTTTTGCAATCCTCACTTAATCCACACTCGGTTAAGAAAGGGTGTGGAGTTCACTTTATGTAAATACTTGCTTACAAAATAAAGAGCAAAAAAAGAGTAAAAAAGTGCTTATGTATCAGAAATTAAGAGCATCTTCTCTACTGTTACTGTGTGTCAAAAAGATGTAGTTAGTATTGTTCTTGACTTCTTGAGTCAGGCTCTCTAGAAATGTTTTCCGAAAGCTACAGAGATAACTTTGGAGACTTAAATCTTACTGAATGGAGTAACCCTTAGAATAGAAATGCATTTTCCTTATGCCGTAAGGAACCAATAGTCTGAAGGTGCTGAACGCACACAAACTTTAACAAATAATAAATGGGAAACAAAACCTAAGATAGCCTTTCCAATTTCTGAACTCTGTTTGTTTGAGTCTGAATGTCAGACGTTAACATTAAGGCTCAATGCAGAATTATTATGTAATATAATAGGGTCACCATCTTAATGTTTTTTCTCATAGAACCTTTCTTGGTTTTAAATCTTGGATGTCTGTCAAAATGGCAAGGGGAACAATTTAAAATTCAAAATGTTCACTTTTATAAAACTATTATTAAAAATGCCTTCAAATGAGGCATCACAAAGCTGAAGCAGTGAATTTTTTCGTGTTTGAATAGAAGAACAAGACTGTTGCTATTCTGCAGTAAGTAGTACTCGTTGCACTGTTGAGGCAAGGCTCAGGCTGTGCATTGGAGGGGATTCACTAGTCATGTTGGAGCTGATGGTTGCTCTGTGGCTTAACAGCTATGTCAAGATAATGGAAGTTTAAATGAGTGAGTAGTAGAGATAAGATGAGCAAGTATAGCCATGGACTGGAAGGAAGATGATCCTTATATTTTATGCTTGCACTTTTGTAAAACAAGCAGGGATGTATCCTGCTGCATCAAAACTAATTAGCTAAAATATTGGAGATGGAGGACTTGTCAGCATGTGACTGCTCAAGGACAGTTAAGAAGAACACTGTTCTTGCTTCCAAGCATTTCTCCTCTCTCCCCTCCAATCCCACTGATTTTTAAATAGTAATAAATAGCAGTGATTGTTTTGTCTAGCTGAAATCTGAGGGACAATTGTTTGATTATTTCTCTTGCCTTTTATTTGTGTTTAAATCTCTCTAAGTAGTAAGGCTGTCAGGGTGAAATGGGTGTCGGAAGGTGAGTGTCAAGTATGGATCTCTTGCTCGTAGTAATGACAGTTCACATTTAGCTTGTATAGATAGAAGCACCTCTTTGTCATCTGTAATTGCTTTTGCCTGGATGAGAAGTTCCCAGGTTCCAGAGGACAAAATTCTGCAACGGAAGAGCCTTGGATGTGATTAATTTGCAACATCGTGTGTTGGCAGTATATAGAGCAAGAGGCCAAAAGATAAAATGATGGGAAGCCAATCTGTTCTCCCAGCTGAGTTAGTTATGACATGCCAGGATTAGGGGAATCTTGATTAAGTTCAATAATTGGGGTAACTTCACTTCCCTGAATGTCATTCTGGTGCAACTGCTGCATCTTTTCTTTTGCGAAAGCTTTAAAAAGCTCTTCACTGCAAGAGTGATCAGGCATTGGAACAGGCTGCCCAGAGAAGTGGTGGAGTTACCGTCCCTGGAAGGGTTCAAGAAACGTGTAGATGTAGTGCTTAGGGACATAGAATCATAGAATCATTAAGGTTGGAAAAGACCTCAAGGATCATCAAGTCCAACCCAACACCACCTAACTCACTAAACCATGTCCCTAAGCACCATGGTTTAGTGAGTTAGGTGGTGTGGGTTGACGGTTGGACTTGATGATCCTTGAGGTCTTTTCCAACCTTAATGATTCTGTGAAAAAAGAGATTTGGTTTGCCTGTGTTGATGGACCTGTAGAGTTAAAAATAACAGCTTTGCAATTTAAGAACATATACTCTTTAAGTGGTTTTTGGAACAGTATCTGTTTAACCTTCTGAAATATTTGCATTTCACAAGTTGTAATAGTTTCATAAACCAGTGCCCTTTTCAAATGACTGTAACAGCAATGACTGTGTAAAATTGCTTTCAATGATAGGGGAGAAACATAAGCAAGAAGCTTATATTGAAAAACTCCACTCATTTTTTTAATCTTCTTGCCATTCTTCTTTCCTAAATTAAAATCAATAGCGTAATATTATTTTTCCTGTGTATGTTTAGCCACCTACTTATATAGTGCGTGGACACACACGCTATTTCGAGCACACGGCTGGACCAGCTAGTGTCAGTAAATAAAATAACTGTCATAAGATCAGTAGTATCTGAAATGTTACTTTTGACTCCTCACTAGGGGAAGAGGCATTGTCCAGAAGGTCTGGTGACCAAGATGCATGTATGGTGTGAAAAAATAGTTTCAGTTCTGCTTGCTCAATTTATGAGGGTAGGGATTTTTAAATACCTGTGTCTCCCCATCTCATGAATTATTTGGCTCTGTGAAATGGGAGTTTAAACTGGGTTTTTGTACACTGTAGCAAAACCATTAAAAAATTCAGAATTCTTCAATTACAGTTCACAAAGGTTTTTTTCAATGTCAGGATATTAGTTTCTGTTATTTACCTTAAATATCAGTTTTATGTATGTTTTGGCCATCACATAAATACAGTTTTCAAAACTTTATTTTTTAACCTAGACATAACATGCTGTGTAGATTTTTTTTAGCCAGCTATGATGCCAGTGTTTTTTAAAATACATAGCTGTTTGTTAATGTTTCCTTCAGGAAAATCAGGTAATTTTAGTTCTGCTTCAATTTTAGTTCTGCTTCAATTTCAAGAGGGGCTTTTCATGTTGCAGCATATAGTTTCGTTAAGAAATACAGTAGCAAGCTGAAGTAAGCCATTAATTCTAATTTACTAATGAAAATGTTGACTTTTTCTTACAGGAGATGATCAGATGGAGAGAAAAGGTCAAGTTTTAATACTTTTAGTGGAACAAGCTCTCAGTTTCCAGGACTACAAAGCAGCTAGTATGCACTGCCAGGAGCTCATGGCCACAGGTGAAGTGGATAAATGGGCATGACATAGGGTGATGGTCCTGGACATCTGAGTTCTGACTCTGCATTTCACTTCATTTTTTATTGTCTCCGCAGTACTTTTTTCTTGTAAGAAAGCAAAGGAAAAAATTTTAATTTGTCCCGTTGTTTAAATCCCGTTTACTATGTGTTTGGTATTTTTTTTGTTAGTGAAGTTGTAACACTGTTGAGATTAAACATGTATGTTGATCCGTACTCATTCATTATCATCTGTATATAGTCATGTTTCTTCTCTGTAAAATTATTTATGGAAGCATATTTCAGTGTCTTTCTTAAGACATGTTTCAGTTTGCAGAAGTTCATTCACAGTGTAAATTCTTTCTTTGTAATTGTTGTCCTACTTGTTCATCTGTGAAAATAATTATAAGAAATTAAATTTTGCTAGCCAGCTGGGTAGGGGTCTTGTATTCAGTTTTAAATCTGAAAAGAATATTATAGGCTGTAGTAATAAGTGCTGACTTTTGTTTCTTACTAAGTTGTGTGCACTTTGTAAAAGACAGTTCAAGTATCTTTAAACTGGACCTATACTTTTGGAGACATTTGCCAGGTCTGTTTGGATATCTCCAAACTTAATTTCTTGGCTTTCTGACAAAAGATGACTGTGATGTATGGTAGCTGATGAGATGAGGTGACAGCCAGATTTCTATAATCTCCTCCTAATGCAGGAAAAGCAGATCCTAGCTGTTTGTGGTATTTTTTTTGCAAGACAAAAACATGCAATTTTTTTTTTGCCATATGTAATGCACAAATACATGGAATGGAGATATACACAGCCAATGCTGTATGTAATAAGATAGTTACCGATCTGTTAGACGTGTAACGTTAGGGAGCTTTTATGTATGCCTCTGGGAACCACAATTTCTCATTCTTTCTACACTGTACCCCTTTCAAATAGGTAAAAATATGTGACTGCAGCTAGTAGGAATATACAGCTCTTTTAGAAGTCTGCCTTTCTGTCAGAACTCTTAAAATATTTGTGATATTCATGTCATTTGTATATGTGAGGATATGAGTGGAGGTAAATGATGTATTAGGATACTAAGGAAGAAGATGAAACTAGATGATCTTTAAGGTCCTTTTCAACCCAGGCCATTCTGTGATTCTGTAATTCTATGATTTTTTTTCTTTGGCTCTTTTTTCCTGCCTTGAGATCTAGGGGTGGAAATCTGAGAGGAACTGAGGTTCTTCTAATTATATCAAGTGATATATTTTACTTTTGGGGTTTTTTTTGTTTGTTTCTTTGTTTCCAGCTACTCCAGTAAGGTGTTTGATATCATGAAGTAAATTATGATTTTCTTATTGCAACATGTAAAAATATGGTGTGTGCGCTTACGGATACCTATTGTACGAATATCTCCAATATGATGATAATGAATTTTCTATGCATTTGGTCAGTCTAAAGTTGAGTTACATCTCTGTTTTATGAAGCCTTTTTGGTACCTTCTCAGGGTATGGTAAGTATTAGCAGGAAAAAAATGCCCTCCTTTATCTCATTCAGTAAGAATTATGCAGCATCCTCCTGTCACCTGTGAAGCTTACCAATATTAGAAGTATGTTTTACATTCCCTTGTAGGTTATTCTAAAAGCTGGGAAGTATGCAGTCAGCTTGGGCAATCAGAAGGGTACCATGATTTGGGTATGCGTCAGGAACTCATGGCTTTTGCTCTGACACACTGTCCCCCAAGTGCCATAGAGGCATTGCTGGGAGTGAGCAGTTCGTTGCAAACCCAGGTAGGTGTTTCTGAAGCTTCTTTGATGTAAATTCAATGCTTACCAAAATAAAGGGGACTTTTGCTCATTTTTAAGTGTTTTGCTTTTAGGTTCCATCTCCTAATACGTTTATATTTGTTCTAATATATTTTGCTACTTTCACTGTTACATTTGAACAAACAAGGCCTCTTTATAAGCATTTTTGTGTGATGAGTTGATTTCTCAAGTAGGAGTATAGTTGTATTCTTGATCTTCAGTGCTTTTAATTTCTTAATTTATTGCCCAATTTAAACATTTTGTTTGCAAATGCAGTTAAATATTTTTTCAGTGTTTTCTGGGTTCTGTCACCTGTTTACACCTTGTAATGCAACTTCATTAAATGCCCACATAAATATCTATTAAATGTTTATTCTTACATTTTTATGATCTCTACCCAATATACAATTAAATTATTTTCTCACTGATTTCGACCATGTAATGGTTTTAAGAACTACAACAGGCTTTATGTCTGAGCTGTCTTTATTAACTCTGCAATGACTGACTTCTTAATAGAACCAGATCTTAGGTGTTCAACTGATCATATTATATATGTGAGAATACATAATTGTGGCACTGAAAAACAAGTTATGGCAAGATGACATAGCAAAACTTTTGAAAAGTTTTATTTGAAACGGCAGTCCAGTAATTTAGGTTGTCAAAATGTTACATTTCTATGTTCATAGATTTGTCTTTGTGTAATAAAAACATCTTAGAGGGCTTGCATTCTGTGCCTGAAGAATGGGGGAGAAGGGAGCAATGGCTACAGCACGTATGCAGTCTAATTAAGGCAGCTGCAAGTGCTTAGCCTTTTTCTTTACAAAACTGCTTGACAAATACAGGCAACGTATGAAGGAAGTCTGTGCTGCTTCAGTAACATAAGACCAGAATAAAATGCTACAGAGGATTTGAAATAAAGCCTAGCTCCTGCAAGCTACTTACTATTTTTTTCATCATAAATGCACTTAAATTTGAGAGAGGTGGGTACAATTATGAGCTTAAATGCAAGTGGAATCTTTGCTTGGTAGCTGTGCAGGATAGAAATAAAAACTTGTTTCCCTTCTTATGTGCTTATACCTGGAATTTTAATTTGAAGTCAAACAAACTTTGGCACTGTATATGCCATAATTTGTTACACTTTCTGTCGATTCACTGTCCCTATATCACACTCTCATTCCTTCTAAAGGCTTCATGTCCTGTTGGTTGTAGTGCGGTGCAGCTGCTTAGCTGCTGGTTATAACCCTCTTGCATCCCACTTCTCCAAGGGAAACAGTTCTGTCTTCTCCATTCACAAAATTTGAGACTGAATTTGTTGCTAAGGTTTCTTAGTGCAGTGTGATTTGTAGCAAAAGTCCAGTGATGATTAATTTGATATTTACCCCAGGAAGCCAAACCCAAGTCATAATTTCTGTCAAAGCACATTTGAGAAGTTTCTTCTCTATTTGCTTTCTCCATAAACCAAGCATAAGCTTTACAGTTCTGGTTTTTAATGGTCCTACATGTTCAGTCCGAGCACTCTGTATGTAGATAGATGTAGGCAAAAAATCTTTATCGGGGGTCACACTGACCAGATGATATGTATAGATGTCTTTTCTGTACCTTCATCAATTCTATGGCCTGTGGGAATTCTGCTCACAAAACTGTTATCTTGTGTAACACTGCCTCTGTGGAGTTGCCCGACACCTCAGAGGCACGGTTCACATAATAGATGTTTTTCATAGAAGTTCTTTACCCTACGTAGTATAGCAGGGTGCATATAGTTAAAAAAAAAAACTTATTTCGTCGCAGGAAAAATATCACACAAAAAATCACAGAGAAGGGCAGGTCACATTTTCTAGGGACTACAACAGCAAGCGGAGGTCAAAGATACCTATGTGTTCTTCTCCCTGTCTTCCCCTGCACCCTTGTTTTCTGTTCATGGAAGCTTTTACATCAGAATTTCTTGGGTTTCCTATGACATCAGTCATAATTCTTATATTTTGTTATTTGACTGGTAAAGAGATTGTATTTTGTGTTTATAGATTCTTTATCAGGCTGTGAATTACCAGTTCCTTCCTTCAGAAGGAGGTGAGAATATGAATATCTCAGGACCTTCTTCATTGATCAGTAAGGATACAGAGGTAAGCATTAAAGAAAGGTTTTGAAGTAATAATGATTTTTTTATGAATTATGCTGAGGAGCTGAATTTGAGTTTTTGGCAACATCTACCTGTTTACTAGATAAAATGCACAACAGTAAATACATCTACTGATTTCTGTTCTTAGGTTGTTCTAAGTTCAAGGTTTTGCTTATGTATATATACTTAGTCTGTTCTGATTTTTCATTGGTTCTTCCTACACAGTCTTAGCACTGTAGGAAAAAAAAATGTAAACCCAGAGGCAGGAGAAGAGTGAAGTGCAACAAAACTTCACACAATAAAAGACATTAATATTGGTTTGATTTTTCCCCTTTGTTCTGTGGATCACGAAGTTCATGACTCCTGTGCTGTTTTATATCTTCCATATATTGCATGTGAAATTATTTTTGTGTGTAAGATCAGAAGGAAAATTGAGTGTTTTGTGGGAAGTATAGGCAGGGCAGCAGGAAAGAGTTCTACTATTATTCTTTGTACTTTTCATGTTTATTATTTTAACAAATTTACGGGTGTACACGTGGAATTGCGAGTACATTTCTCTCTTTAAAGATGATGTAATAACCTGTTTATGAAAGAAAGGAATGTCTTTTTCATCCTCTTCAGAGTGGCAAATTCTAAGTTGAATTTTTTTTCTCTGTTTTCTGTTTGAGTTTTTCTGTAGAAGATAAACAGATCTTGGGGGAGGGGGCAAAAACCTTAGAGAAATAGAGGAAAGAAGAGAGAAAAAAAGAAGGTAGTTCATGTTGCATAGTCTGGCTTTTTGAGAAAAGTGTCTGAATTGCAGCCTCCTTAATGTCATTATACCCTTGGGGAATTTTTATCAATGACAGCTATAGATGGAACATGCTAGTGTTTGCCTTTGGTATATTTAACAACATGTGGCTTAAAAAGACACATCTCATCTTCGTGTTATTGGAATGGGAACAGACAGCTTCTATGCATATGTCTATATTTTGTGTATGGTTTTTATATATGTATAGGCATAGATGCATATGTAAACATACATGCATATGTAAACATACATGTGCATATTAGTATATATAAAAATAAATGGACAAGAAAGTAAAATAGCAGTGAAGACAATATTCAGAGGAAGAGAACTAAACACTATGTATGTGCTAGAATAATTGGTATGAACAGGTCTGTTCTGGCACGAATGCTTTTAATTTTCTGGAAATTCATAAATTAATCTCTCTGAGATGAATATTAAGTGGATGTTGATAAAATTGTGGAACCTTCTGATGTGGGTGCAGATATGTACGTTTACAATATTTTAATGTGTGTAACAAATCATCACCTTTCATATGCTGTAGTACTATTGACTCTATGTTGTGGCAGAATGATTATACATGCATATAAATGATTCAGAAACTTATTCAAGGGTTTATCAGAGTTGAGTAAACTCACTAATTAACTTAATTATCAATTCAGTTTGGATATCTGAAGCAATTTTCATTATGCTGGGAAATTCACATTCAGAAAATTATCCGCTCTTATTTTCTCCAATATATCTTTTCATTTTTTTCCCTTAGTTGTGCTTGATTGTCTGTTTAGAATTGGAAATAGGCAGACAGTTGACCTGGCAAGTTTGTATGTTACTGCAATGAGGTTTTTTCATTCTGTTTTAATACAACTTCTTGGCATGTCATATTTCAGACTGTTACACTACGAAATGAGTTTCGTATATCTGCTAATTTTGTTCTTTTTTTCTCTCCCAGTTGACTTAGTAGGGATTATAGCTTCTTTCATTTCTTGCCATGACACAGGAGGAAAAACAGCCAAGAATTTAGTCACTGTATAACCCCTTCTTTGTTACAGACATCTGAAAACTTAGAAAAGCAATATGTTCAATAACTCAGTTTCTCTTACATAACTGAATCCCATAACTGCAATTCCCATAGTTCTACTTCCGCTAGTTCCTTGTGCTTCACCTTCGTTGTCTTGGACAGAATTTCAGTTTCTTCAAAGAAAAAGCCAAACTACAAGGTGTTGTTTTTTATTTTCCCCTTTCTTTTTACTCCTTTCTTTTTTTCTTATGTCCTGATTAACTTCTCAAGGAGTTGACAAATGTTCTTCTTTCTCACTTATTGATACCTTTTCAAACTGGTGCTCTAAATGTAACTTTCCTTATATTGACTTGTCTAAGCTTCTTCTAGCATACATGTGTTTGGGCATCCCTTTCTCTGTTGCATTAAAAATATGTGTAAGTATATAAATTTTCCCTTACAAAGCTTCAGTTACCTTTTTCTACTTCTTACCTTTATCCAGAATTGAATCATTAGTTGCCACTACCATTTTTTCCATTATACCAACCTACATCACCATGTGATCATACTTGTCAGTCATTCTTCTCATGATGAACTCCTCTCTAGAAATGTCTAAACTCATTTCATTTTTGTTGTTTTAAGATTTTCCTTTGAAACTTTTTTTCCAATGAAACTTGCAGAAATCTTGATAGCAGCTGGCTACGTATCTTCACAGACTGCATAGAAATGCGTTATTTAACACTGTTGTCATACTGATGTCAGTATAACTGTTCTCCAAGTTTTTGGTGGTCCTACTCTGAAAGAAGTAGCTGGTTGCTTTGATAAAGATGCACGTAATTATTCTATAGGAACTAATGCATTTGCACAAGGAGGTACTTCATTACCTTAGTGACACCGTATCACTGTTGATTGAACTAATGGGATCCATTGGAGAAATTATCCTCTGGAAGCTACAACGATTCCAACCTAGCAGGTTATTTTTAAGGGAAGCGTTAAGTTTCCCCAATCCCCACCTTTTTTTCTCTTTGTTGTATGTTACATATGCCTCAACAACTAATTTTGTGCTTCTCAAACAAAATAGTGAGAAAATTAAGGTCTTGATTCATGAAAAGCATTTCAGAATAATATTGCTAACAATATTGCTAACAATATTAGATTAAAATATAATGCTTAGTCACGAGATGCTGTGTTGTTTGTAAACAATAGAAACAACCATCGATTGCCTTGAAAATGAGCTCTAACTTCATGTTGAATCTGCATTATACTTAAAACATGCATTATGTCCATTATTGTGATCTTTTACATATCTGACTGTGAAAACTTAATTACTGTAAAGCAGCACATCAGCAAAAGAAAAATTTGCAGTTTCAAGTTTCCTTGAAATAAAACTCTCCAATAGGAGAGCAGACATAATTTCTGGAGGAGAGCATCTGCAAAGTATAAGAATGATTTTCTTAAATGTTGCTTAAACAAAATTTTCAATCAACAAAGCACTGGCATCTTCTTTGCTTTTCTGTTGCTCCCAAGCACTAGATCTGGGAAAAGACAGGATGTTTAAGACATTTGTGTCCATTAAATTGATATGTCATGGATTTTTATCAGTAGTGGTTAGAAATGATTAGATAATATTATATTTATCTATCATGCACTGGGAACTCTTCCACCTGGAGTCTTTGGAACCTCAGGGAAAAAATTATGCTGCAGCTGCTGTTTCAAATGGTTATGATTTTTGGATTTTATTTCTTATTTTGCAATTAATTGGAGCTTTGTTTTGTGATTTAGTAAATGTACTGGTTTTAGTTCTGCAGTAACTAAATTAGAATTCTTCTTATAGGAAGAGGTACTGTAATTCCTGAAGGAATCATGTTCATTTACAGTGTCACTGAACTCTTGTGCGGAGAAAGAGAAAAATCTCAATGTGGAACTCTATGTGCACACTGCTTAAACTCCTGTTGTAGTCAGTGGAGATCAAGTTAGTGGTGCATAGAGAATAATACAGTTAATAGCCATTAGGTGCTTGATTCAGTTACTCAATTATATATATCAACAATTTGAGATGCCCTAAGTTATCCTCCTGTCCTTTAGCTACTGACCCAAAAAGTCTAGGTCCTCTGTCAGATATACAAGTTTTAAGCAGGTATCTTAATTACTGCTATGTGTCTCAGACAATCTTCAAAGTGTATGTTTAAGCAGATGAGTCAAATGCGTTGTGTATGCTTAAGGCTGGGTTGCTTTTTTGATTCCGGTGACATTATAGCCCTAACAAGAGCTTAGGCATCCAGTGACACCTGAACTTGAGTGTTGTCATCTTGCACTGAAACTTTTCTGCGGTCTCTCATCTGCGGTCTGGTTTATCTTTGCAGGCCTGGAGTTTTCAATTAGACTGGTTCATTAGCTGTAATGTACACTGTAAAAACAACAACAAAAAAACAAAACCAACCAACCAAAACAAAAAACCCCACCAACCCAAAACCAACAAAAAACCAACAAACAAACCAAAACCCCAGAACAAAACCCTCCAAGGCACAAAACAGAAATGTAGAATAAACCTGAATAGTTATGTAGAAGACACTATTTTAAATTCCTGTTTTCCAAATGGAGTGACAAAAAGGGAGAAAGGAAAAGGAAAGCTAATACTTTGATATTCAGTCTTATGAACAGAATCTGTTCCACCTCACTTTGTTTCCTTCATAATCTTAATGCATGACTCTTAATGCATAAAGTGTATACAGCGTATGGTTTGTGCACGTTTTGATCCTTGCACCTTGACTAATTGTCATTAAAGACAAAAAAAAAAAGAAAATGCATGTGGTAGGTGTTCTAATGTATTACTCTCTCTTCTGTGGCTTATTTAAAAAATAGTTGGCTTTGTTATTTGTCCTTGCATTAGGCTGTTTGAAATTTTATATATGTGTGTATATGAGCATATGTGTATATAAATGTTTTAGCTTTTATTTTAGAGTATCTTGATAATACAGAATTTATTGGATGACTTTTTAACATGAATTTAGATTCATGCAAATTTTTGAGCTGCTAATTTAGGATTAATAAGTTGTTATTAATATTTTATTTTTAATCAGGAGTACTTACTTTTATAAAAGATATCAGGAAGAAGTAATATAAGAAAGTAATTTCCCCCAAACACCCCTCAAAACCTCCAGATTATAACTTCTTCTCGAAGATACAATTAACGGACACAATTCAAGTTGTCTTCTTAAAGTGAGACCTCCAGCAGTGAGAAAATCTCCAGTGAGATTTATTCAGGATAGCAAGTTATGGCCTGGAATTGTTGGTGTTCCAGGTACACAGAGGAATGGCTTTTCAGAAAACAGAATTCTTATTTTTGCAGAATAGACTGTGATTACTCATAAGAGTTGAAATTCTTTTGAAAAAAAAAAAATAATCGAGAGAGTTTATCTGGAAGCAGTAGAGCTGTAGAAGCATACAAACTAGCATATAAGTTAGCCCATGAGTTTTCGCCTCCTTCAGCAGTGTTTGTTTTAAAAAATGTGTTTTGCTCAAGTGCAATTGAGAACTGGGGAGGTAGATTTTTTTTCCTTGTTTTGTTTTGTTTTTGTTTTATTTTTTCTCCATGAAGAATCAGTTAGGTGTTCTCCAGCATCTGCTTGAAAATGGAGGCAGAGAGAAAAATCAGCATTCTGTATATAACATTTAAAATAAATTACAAAAAGATTTTGTACTGAGAACCAAGAGTGGTTCATTTAAAAACACACACAAACAATACATTCTTGCCCACCCGACCAAACCACCAGACCTAGGATTTTCTGTTGCTTTTTACTTTTCAGAGGACTAGAAATTCTAACTTGTCGTAGTTGGCATGTTCTTTCTTCATTTTGTGAAGTAAGAGCCGAAATTTCCACTTCAGCCAGTAGTTCATTAGTGGTGCACCTGTGAAAGACAGAATATAATTTCAGAAAAGACTGAAAGAAATGCTGAAGCCTGAATGGAAAGAGGGACTTAAGGTAGATCTACTATCTACTGCTACTTCAGTGGTCAACTTGAGGTAGTGATTTACTTCAGAGTACAGTAAAAGGTACTGAAAACAAGTTCATCTACAGCGAAATTCTGCCTTATTGAAGCTAACATGTTTTGTCCCTGAAGTTACGGTGGGACATAATTCACTTGAGCATAACTTGGCGTCCTTTTGCTCTGATGTCTGAAATTTTGTCATGAGTCAGTAAGTTGTAAACTAATACCTCACAATCAGTTATACAGGTAGAATTTGTCTATTTTGCTACACTTCAGTGAATGGGGAAATGAATACTAGAGTTGTTAGGGAGAAACATTAGATATAAAGCTGTTGAAGTTTTCTGTATGGAGGAAAATATTTATATTTTCTATTGCTGTAGACTGTGTTTACATGAGCATGCTAATTATATGCCTAATGTGTAAGTGTTGTAAAGCATGCAATTAACAGAAAACTATCAGGACTGGAATAGCACAGATCAACCAAAATGGATATTCTGGGTATTATTTCAAGCTTTACATGGGGAAGAGCTGGTACAGTAACCTCCATTTGTGGACCATGTCTTCTACTTTTAAGAATTGACTTACGTGTGAGTTTACTGAGGCTGAGTGAGGATGTCTTGCAGGATAACGTGTAAACATATATTGCAGAAGCAGTTTGGGACTGAGAATAGACTGATGTCCCTATTCTTTTTTTGGTAGTCTTTTACGTTTGCTATATTTGGTATCTGCCAACTGCCGAATTCCAAATGTTGATGATACTTTTTCACTTGGTGCAGAGATGAATCTTTACATCTCATCATCATTCCCCCTACTGAGAATTCAATTTAATGCTACCTCTGTACAAATGCAAGATTGTCTCTACTATCATCTTTCTTGAATTATTGAAGATTAATTTTAGCATGCTCAATCTTCTCATTTGTAGAGAGATCATTATTTTAACAGAAGCATTCAACAATTATGTAAAACATTGCAATTATAAACTTTGGAATTAAAAACAGCTGGTGTCTGTGGAAACAAGAGATCATAGTTGAATAAGGGGCAAAATGTTCTAGTGATCACACTACTCACTTCAGATTGAAGCTTCTAAATCACTTTTGTCTTTTGTTTGTTGACAGCTGTTACTTGAATTAATGATCATTAAAATATGTTATTGACATAGTGTGCATGATCTCTAATGCATTGGCTTTAGGTCATTAGCCTAATTAAAGCATGAATCTAATGCTTGCCGTTGTGTGTTGGGTATGCTCACAGGATGAAACCAACATCTCCTCTAGCCAGTCTGCTGATTTGTTGTACTGGACGACATCAAAAACCATGAAGGTGTTGGCTAACACAACTATGACTACAAAAGCCATGCTGCATGCTGTCAGTGATGGACAGTGGTGGAAGAGATCGTTAACTTATCTTCGACCATTACATGTAAGGGATTGCTGATGTGTCTGCAGGTGTTTACACATCCACTGACACATTAGTATAAAAGCCGGGCTCCTTTGTAGGTATCTGTTAACTGAAGACCTCAAATCGATAAATGAACTAGAGACGTCAAGAGATTGTTTGCAAGCAAATCCCAATGAAATAAAGGGTCTAAAGCCATTTCCTTTTCTTGTTTTCTAATCTATTTTCTCCTGCTTTTTTAGCATAGTGTGAGAAGGCATAGTTGAAATTTGGCAGAGCTTCAGAACTTTGGGGAAGAAAGCACAGTGAAGTCTCCTCTTGAAATGCTGTCATTTTGTATTAACTTTGTTCCTTTTCAGTTTCTTTTTTCTTTCTACCTTCTCTACTTCAGTGAATTTTCTATAATGTTTATGATACTAGTTTCTCTGGTACTACTTTTGAGCATTCTTTTTTTTAAATTTTTTTTTAAATAATACTGGACCTCATTCAGCACTGGTTTATATAAGATAACTCCTATCTTTCTCCCCACTGAATTCAATGATATTTTCATTTACAGTTGCTTTCCTTTCTGAACAGTAGTTACAGACTTTTTAATGAGCTTTTTTTTATGACTAGGCTCAACTATACTTATTTTTCCCAGGGTCAAGAATTTGGAGATGTATTAAAAAGTGGGCCTGGAGAAAATGCCACTGTGGAAAAACAAGGCTGTCATCCATTTTATGAGTCTCTAATTGCTGATCCTTATGTTGCAGAAGTAAGTTACTGTTACAGAATTCAGAAGTGTCAGTTTTTTGTGTAGATCTTAAAATTAATTAACAATATGAATTTTGGATTATTTGTGTGATTTGCAAGGATTTGAAATTTTGTGCAACAGTAGGAAAAATTCCAGCATTAAACAGAAAAGAAAGCAAATGCAGGAACCAAGGTAGATAGTTGCATGTGATGAAACTGAGCTAATATAATTGCAGGGTGTAGTGCGCATGTGTCAGTTATCTTATTTTTCTTCTAGTCTGAAATCAGCTATGGCACATACCAGAACAATTCTTTGGAAAGCTTTGCAGAAGTATTGCTGAGAACGGAGAAACTAACAGAAACAAAGAGTGAAGGAAAAGATCTACTTCCAACTACAGAAGGTATGAGTATGTGTATATTCACTTCTATATTTACTATATATAGTAAATATAGGACAATCTATGGCTGGGTTTAAGTGTGGGAAATTGCACAGGATGATCTGAAGTACTGTCTGGTTATCTCGTACGAATTGTAGTCTGGTTCCACATCTTAGGTTGGTAAGTAGTCTTGATAGAAGTACCTGCAGCAATTTCAAGACAAGTGGTATTTTGGGGAGTCACTCAATAAAGACTAGAAATCCAAAATCTGAAAGCTGACATTAAATAAAAAGAAACTAGTATTTGGGATCTAACAAAGATACAAACATTAAGGGGGGGAAAATTGTTGGACATTTCCTGAATACTATCATGTACAGATATTTAAATCGAAAATTGCAGCCCACTGTTGATGCTATTTGTATGTATGCCTGTGTATTCATTTGTTCAGAATCTGTGCCATGGTTTATACAGCTTTTAGTATTCCAGGGCCGTTACACTATTTTATTTACTAATTAATGCTGAACTGCAGTTTCTGGAATCATTACAGCTTTTGTCTACTTTTGGATTTTCTACATTTTATACTTTTATTTGCTAACTGAAAGAGTTTCAATTACAAAAAAAACCACCTATGATTGTTTGTCTTTCCTTTTGTCTGTCTCCTGCTGGTTTAAGAAATGAACTGTTTAAATATTTACATGCTGTTACTGTCTTTTGAAGGAAGATATCTGTATTATATTCCACTCTGTGGTAAGTTCTGCCATGAGAAATGACTGTGTTAAATCATTTGCAATATGAGAAAAGTTTCACATGAGACTTTCTTCATAAGCCATAGAGTTTTATTTCAACTATTTAGTGAAAACCAGCATATTTTTCTTACAGGTATGTGATTCAGTAGTTGGTTTGAGATGTATATTTCTGTAGATAACCTGTACAGTTGTAATATAGTAACATTGTGAATTAGAAAAGGTCAGCAACAACTTGTATAAATGAGGATGTACTCACATTTTGTTCCTTTCATGCTCTTGATGCAAAAATAGTTTTAAATTGGTACTTACGATCTCTTTTTCTTGCATGATGAATGCCTGTAGACTTCTAGCTCTGATGCCTGTGTCTTAAAGGAGGGGGAGGCAAGGATTAAAAAATATTCATTGCTTTCTTATGGCAAATGATGTTAGTTGTCAAATCTTTGCTAATACTTACTGCTCCAACTTGAATCATTGGAACTGGTTGTTTGCAATTCAGTGTCTGCACCTGAGGTGAAGTTTCAGTTTTGGGGAATTTCCTTGAAAAAGGAAAGAAATTTGAGATTTTTGAGCTTCTGCCTTCCTAAAAGTGTGCAGATTGCAGTTTCCACTGCAATTTTAATACTTTTTCTTCCAACACTCTTGTTCAATAGTAAATCTGAATTTCAGTTTTGAGTCCCTCCAACTGTGCTATGGAACGAAGAGTTCTGTGTTTTCCTCTGGAAAACTGTGCTACATTTATTCTGTACTTAGCAGTCCTGCTGTATGACACCTTTTAGTAGACAGCAGCAGTTGTAAGTATGCGTAAGGGTAGCATAGCTTTCTGTAAAATGAGTGGATTTCTGTAAATAAGTGAATTCTAATGTATTTAGCCCTTGATTAACAGTACTGGTTTCCACCTCTTCCCCTTTCTTAATACCTTCCTTTATCATTTGCCATGAAGTCCCTATGTTGAGTTAACAGGATTTAACAATCTTTCACGATTGTGTCGTTTGAAAATGCACGTAGTAATAGCACACCACCAAAATTTAAAACAAAAAAGTCATACAGATATGAACCTCATTTATTATTCTGTGTTTTTCACATATTTTCAGGCTTTCTCCAAGGTTTTCGGGGAATTTTGACATATCAAGCTTGAATGCTAATAGGAGTTACTAGCTACTATACTAGTTACTAACAAACATAGCAGATTTCATTTAATTTGCTGACAATTTTGTGTCCCATTTTTTTTCTCCTAGCTGTCTTCTAGGACAGCTGCAACAGCAGATTTCAGCTCCTTTAAAAGAATTGATGAACCTGGAAGAAGATGCAGTTTAGCAAAGTTCAGCAGTCTCGCTCGAGATAAGACTGCAGGTGGCACAGCAATGTTTGAGGGATAGTGTGCTAGTGAGGTCCTTTGGTCTGCCATCTCAGTGGAGGTGGGGGATGGAGATCCATGTGTCAGCAAAGGCGCGAGGGTTATTGATGTCTTAGAAACCTCGGAAGCACCTGAGAATGGTCACGTAGGAATTAGGGCTTCTCCCCACAAAAAGGTGGCGTGATGTCTTGGGTCAGGGCCACCACCACGCGGTCACTCCCAGGAAAACTATGACATAATTACCATCACAGAAACATGGTGAGATGACTCACACAACTGGAGTGCTGCAATGGATGGGTAGAAACCGTTCAGAAGGGATAGGCATGGAAGCGGAGGTGGTGGGGCAGCCCTGTATGTTAGGGAGTGTTTTGATTGTCTAGAGCTTAATGATGGTGATGATAGGGTTGAGTGCTTATGGGTAAAGAACCAGGGGGAAGGTCAACAAGAAAGATATCATGGTGGGAACCCGTTATAGACCATCGAACCAGGATGAAGAAGCAGATGAAATTTTCTATAAGCAGCTGGAAGGAGTCTCACAATTGGTAGCCCTGGTTCTTGTGGGGGACTTCAATTTAGAAGATGTCTGCTGGAAATACAATACAGTGGAGAGGAAACAGTCTAGGAGGTTGCTGGAGTGTTTGGAAGAAGACTTCCTGACACAGCTGTTGAATGAGCCCACTAGGGAAGGCTCCCCACTGGTGCTGTTGTTTGCGAAAAGAGAAGGACTTGTGGGTGATGTGAGGGTTGGAGGCTGTTTTGGGCATAGTGATCATGAAATGGAGTTTTTGATTCTTGGAGAAGTAAGGAAGGGAGTTAGCAGAACTGCTACCTTGGACTGCTGGAGGGCAGACTTCTGCCTCTTAGGAGCCTGGTTGACAGAGTCCCTTGGGAGGTAGTCCTCGAGGGTAAAGGAGTCCAGGAAGGCTGGATATGCTTCAAGAAGGAACACTTAAGAGGTGCAGGAGCAGGCCGTCCCCGTGTGCTGAAAGACAAGCTGGTGGGGAAGAAGACTGGCCTGGCTGAACAGAGAGTTTGGTTGGAACTCAGGAAAAAAAGGAGAGTCTGACTACTGTTGTAAAAGACAATAAAAAAATGTTTCTATAAATACATTAGCAACAGAAGGAGGGCTAAGGAGAATCTCCATCCTTTATTAGATGCAGGGAGAAATATAGTGACAAAGAGTGAGGAACTTAATACCTTCTTTGGCCTTAGTCTCTAATACTAAGACTGGAATATATTTCTGATATTTCTTTTTTGCAGTATGTGGCAGTTTTGGTGTTTCATTGATCTTGTTCAAAATTCATATGATACTTGCAGCTGTTTTATTTTATTAAGAAAAAGCTTTTAATATGCCTTATTGTGTTCTGTGGTAAGTGAATTAGAGCTCAGGCTGGAAGAGAAGAACTTTCATACCATTCTTCTGGTTGGTATTCTCTAATGTTTACAACATTACTGCCTTGATTTTACAAGGAAAAGATTTACTTGTCATAAATCAGTACAGATGATATTTTAGTGGCTTTGTTTAGTGTCTTTTATTGCATAGCCTCATTCTTGTTTGGTTAATGCATCAAACGGTTTGCCTGGAAGTCAAGGTAAAGCTGTGCTGCAGTTTAATTACCTATTATCTGTTTCTGAATTGCACTGGTAAGTGTTTAATTAAGTATGTATAGAGTGCTTCAAGCTACTGTCTACTAAAATACGGTTACACTGAAAATATTTCATTTGCTAATGTCAAGGCTAGATGGGTCAGTAATCAAAGCTTTATTTCTGCTCCCTGTATGTTGCAGTTCTGCTACAACTGGCAAGCGATGCTTTACCAAATGATACGGCCTTGTCTCTTGCCTATCTACTTGCTCTGCCGCAGGTATGTCAATAGTGATCTTCTTTGTATGTTTTTTGCCAGGAAAGACTATTTGTAGTATTTCAAAACTCCATAAGAAGATGGAATTTCCTTAGGGTTTTAAAATCTAAGTATTTAAATACACATTTTTATAGATTGGGCTGTCGCATTTAAAGGAAACTCTGAACAAATGCCATTGGACTGGCCTATGAGCATGGCACTGGGGAACTTACGTTTTCCTACTTAAAATAGTAGTTGAGCCACCTGACTGACAGTTCTAATGTAGCTCAGAAATATGGATAATAACTTTGTGGTACAGAAACGGCAAAGCTGTAGTTGAAAAATCATTTTGGTTAGGGGTTTGTGCAAGGGGAGAAAAACATCATAATGCAGAATTATCTTTGTGTGTGTGTAGGTTACCGATTTACTTCTGTGCCAGAAAAACATAGTCAGAGCTGTTTACAGATCACAGCAAGTAGCTTTTTAAAGTTTGTGCTCTCAATGTTGTATGCTTGCTAATTCTTTCATCTAAATTAACGTTCTCTTTCTCCTAGGTGGTAGATGCCAACAAATGCTTTGAAAAACAACTGCATTCTGCATTATCTCTCCAGATGGCAAGCTATTACTATAGCTTGCAGATCTATGCTCGTTTGGCACCATGTTTTGAGGACAAATGCCACCCTCTTTACAGGGTTAGTACTCTTTCTTTTTGAAACCATATTCATTAATGTGCAGCATTAAAGCTATTATAAAAAGCCAGTACATGAGTTAAGCCTATTAGGGAGATGATCTGAGTTACACTGTGAGCAGCCTGTTAAGTTACACGTAATTATTCTTCTACAGTGCTGTAAACAGACAAGCACTCCACAATTTGTGGAAGAGTTTTTGAAGCACAATATCAAGTGTCATTTATAGGTAATAGTACTATCAGTCTTAAACGTAACTTATAAACACTAAGCAATAATGAGCATAGACTATGCTGTCATTCATGCGATAATGATGCAGTACAGTACTTCTAGGAAGAGTCAAGTGTCCATTTAAACAAGAACAGTGCTGTTCAAAAAGTTTCTGTAGCCTTCCTTCAGGTGTGTTGGTTTACATTTTAGTTTACATACGGTGTTTTGAAAATTTGTCCTCATTCATTGATGAATTTGTTGATTTCCTTTGACAAGCGTTTCTTTTTTAAATGGCACAGCTTTGCTTCTTATGCCTGTGATTAAAGCAGTTATATGGTAAACTCCAGACTAAATCCTAGAGGTGAGATATGAAAATTTAGTAAGGCACCAGTTGCTATTCGTACTATGGTACCTGAGTAAAAGCTCTTCTTTGCCACTCCAGGAGAGCCCTTCTGAATACACCAGTTCTTTCCTCCTGTGCAGAAACTCTCTGGACTGTTTGGTTTTCAGCTTAGCTCTGCATTACAGCTGAAAGAACACTTCTGGTAACAAGTTTTCTGAAAAGAGAGACCACTAATCACCACCATGTCATGACGGAGAGGAGATTTTTTTATTTTTTTTTCCATGTTCAGAATGGCTCCTGATTTACAGAGGAAAACCTGTTTTGATATTAGCCCAGTTCTGCAATTAGGCAGTGTTTCATGCTCTGAGATTTGTATTCTGCTACCTTCTGTTCAGAAGCTAAAGGAAAACTTAGTCCACAACTGAAAGTTGTGGGGCCTGCAAAATATGTTGGTTGTGAGCAACTCATTTATGTTTGTTAAATAGCTTTCTTTGAGCCTAGGTCCACCTGCTGCAAGGCACCTTTGATGAAAAAATAAGTTTTTTATTATTTTTAGCTTTTTTAGACAGTCTTATTTTATGAAATGAGCTATGAAGCCTTTTGAAAATGTAAGTCATGAGGACAGAGATGTTGAAGAGTGAACTATTTCTACTCCAATTTCCATTTAATAAGCAAAGTCTTATCAATAGCACCATGTAGTTTGTCTCTTACTGGTATGATCTTTGGCTAAATCTTTTATTCCGTCTTGGTAAAATACTGTATGTGGCTGTGACAAGCAGCGTATTCCAAGTTGTTTGCTAAAGAGAGTATGTGCTGTGTTTAAGTACTACTCTTATATGATACATTTTGAAAACAACTGTATGAGAAGATCCTGAGTGGACAGCACACCAAGAAAAAGGAGGGGGAAAAAAAAAGAGGCCTGAGTGGCCAGTAAGAAAACAACACAGGACAACACATTTATTGTTGCTAATTCCAAGGGTATCCATTGAATGAATGTTAATGAAGTAGAAAAGGAGAAGCAGAAACAAATGCTTCTGAGCAAAATAAGTTGTGGTTTTGTTTTGGTTTGGTTTGGGTTTGTTTTTTTTTTTTGCCATGGAAAAACACAGTCTTAAATGCTCACTTTCCTTTGCAAAACAGCCATTTGTTCAAGTGTGCATCTGTGATGCTGGTAATAAAGAATGGCTCAGGTTGCAAGTTGCTTTCCTCAATGCCATGGTAGTTGCTCTCCATGGGAATAGATCTACCCATGATTTTTATTTTTGTGTTTTGTGGGGAGGTGGAAAAAAGTGTTCTTAAACTTTTATGGTGCAAACTTCTGTGAAGATGATAAACAGTTGTAGATGACATTCCATAGTAGATTGTCTTCCAGCTCATGCCACTTCTGTGTTGCATCACCTTTGTCTTCTGACTGTTTCTCAAAACAGAAGTGTATCCCTAAATATAATTCAAAGCTATGCATTATTCTTAGAAGATAACTGAGTGTGTTTTTGTGGGTGAAGGTGTATAACCAGTCTGGTTTTTCCCCTATTCTAAACCTTTACATATTCAATAAAGATCTAAATTTGGCACTTCAGCCACGTGCTTAGAAGGTGGATACAGGAGGTGTGATTTATCTAGTCCATGGAATCAAGTATCCTGGCTGAAAACACTGGCTGAATTTATAAGAAGCTGCATAGAAGCATGGAGAAGTCTGCACTTCTGTGCCTCTGGCATAATGGAAGAAATGTTCTCGGAATGAAAATGACAGATGTGTAATAAGGATAATAGGGAGTAGAGGGCAGAGTTCCTCTTCCACTGGGTAAGACAGACTTTAAGGACTTGCTAGTTAGTCAAGAAAGACATTTTGAATGAATGAGTGGGTCTGTTGCGTGAAGGCTTGATTTTGTTTTGTTTTTTTTTTTAAACTACTGACAGCTGATACCTACACATCAAAACAGAATCATAAGCTGCCAGAAATTCTTATTAACTTTTTGGTACTGTTGGTGTCCAAAAGGAAATCAGATTGATAATTTCTATTTCTGATTAATTTATTAGTTTGCTTTAAGGAGAAACAAAGGGATTTGGATGTAAAGTACTGCTTTAGTTTTGTACCCAAGACAATTTTGAATTTTAGTTGTTATAATAATATTAACATCGCATTTAAGCAATACTAGTTTCTTATCCTGAGAAAGATGTTAAAGGAGCTCTACAACCAAATAAAACCACAGGTAAAGGTCTGTAAGAATAATGCCAGACAGGAGAACAAAATTTCCAGAAATGGACTGGCTGTGGAAAGCATTGGTGTGAGGAGACTCATTTGAGAAGCTTTTATTTTTGGTTTAGGTCTGTACTGGGCCTGGCAGGGATGGGGTTAACTTTCTTCATAGCAGCCCCCATGGTGCTGTGCTTTGCATTTGTGGCTAGAAGTGTTGATAATGCGCCAGTGTTTTGAAAAAAAATGAACCCTGCTGGCACAGCATCGTGGCTGTCTCCCCACTGCCACTCTTGGATCACAGCTCACTACTTCCAAGTCTTGATGAATGAGAAGAAATCTGTACAGCAGAGCGAGAAAATTGCTGGATAATTTTTGCTGTTAACAGCTTATCTCCTCATTTTTCCTGTTCTGGTGATCTGATAAGTGACCAGAATAAATATATCTGGGGGATTATTTACTCTAGAAAGGAGTGAAATTTTTAATTACCCTAAGGTTAATTAATATGTTATGTTCCTGTCTTCATGCTAATAATCTAATGCTGAGGTGTTTCTGTTGTTTTGGAGAGGAGTATTTTACTGACTTTAGCTGGAGGGCAAGCTTTTTCTTGGAGCAGCAAGCAATAGTTCTAACAAATACTCCTAAGTTGCAGAGGGTAGTGGGAATTTTGCAATTAATAGCAGATGAGGAAAGTTGCTGTTAGCAGAAAAATCTTAGGTTTTTATTTTATTCCCATACCTGTTGTTTTCATTCAAGAAAATGAATCATTTTGTGCACTGTGACTGGCAATATGTTGAAAAGGTAACATCAGAGATTCTGCTTAGTGATGCTTTTGATGCAGCCTAGAGTTGGTGAAGAAGCTGGGAGTTCAGTTCCGAAGATGTAACTGCCTTCTGAGTCACTGTGTGAAAAGGGGCATTTACACAGTGAACTTGTGCTCTGTGCACTTAACCTGCTTCCCTTTTCTGTTGCTTGATGCTCAGGGAAGCCTCTGTCAATCTCTCTGTAAGAGGCAGAATTAGGTCTGCTTTCACTCACATAAATTCACTGTCTACAACATAGGGTTTTTTTCTGAGGTTTTCTTGTGGTTTTTTTTTTTTCTCTGTTTTTATCACAGCTGTTCTGTATGGTAATTCCTGTAGTGTTTCTCTTTATTTCTGTCATTGTTAGACCATTGTTTCTGTCTATTCATATCTTCCTTCGCAGAACCATATTTAAGTTCTCTATACTCACCTCAATGGCATCTGTAGCCTTTAAGTGCATTAAGTAGCTGTGACAATTGTGTGGTGTGTTTCTTATTCTCTCTCTTCTCCTTTCCCATAGGGGAAAAACAGGATGTGGAACAGTTTTTAAATTGTTAAATGCTGATATGTGTTTATCTTTTTTTGCATTAATGAAAGCAAGGTCAAAAGAAGAATGCTTGAACTTGGGAATGAATATGTAGAAATTTGTGTTGATTTTGTGGGATTTCATTCTGCAGGTTTGACCTGCTTTGACCAGCTTTAGGTAATATTCTGAATGTGGATGTTGAAAATAAAGACTTCTTTTGGAATGGAAATAGATATTGTATAAGAAGACTGTATACAGGAGGAGGGACAGGGACAGATCTTAGGGGCTACCAGATGTATTACCCCTGCTGTATGAGGTCTAATGGCTTTAGCCTTATTACATGGCACTGTAGTGCATCTAGAAATTAAGGCTATACACAAGGTAGTCTCTCATTGCAAATCAAGTGCTCATTAAATGGTTGCATGTTGGTTTGTGTTTAATAGTAATATCCTGTCACATTCCTATTATTAATTGTGAATTTAACTCACTAGAAATAATATATGCATTTTTAATCTCAACTTAGACTCCAGTAAAACCTCACGTACACAGATCTGTTAAAACTGACACACAAAACTGACAGATTGTGTCAGACAGTCTTGTTTCATTCTGTCTTGTCATTCAACTTTTTGTCCACAACACAATGCCTAGCACTATGTCTATTTTAGATGGTAAAATGGTAGTGCTCTTTATTGTTGGTTTATGATGGACGTAAAACATGACCTTCTTTACTTTTTTTTTTTCCTATTTTAAGTCCTGATTCAAGCCCTAGTCTCCTCTTTGGCCCCTCTTTCTGTTTTGTTAATTATGCTGAAAACTAGCAAATTTCCTTTGGCAGTGTGATTTCTCCCCTTTGCTTCATTGTTTGAATTTTCTGTTGCATGTCCTGCATCAAGTTCAAGTTCCTTTGCTGGTCTTTAGGTTGCTCCACTT